AACCAAGTAACAATTTAGCAGCCTTTTGGCTGTCACACTGATTTATTGTTGGTTTATAATGGCAATAAACAATCTTTTCATTTTAAATACGGCATTTACAAGTACAACACATTCTTGGTCAGTAGTTCAGCATTTTGCTGTTTTAAAAACCTTTTAAAGTTTGACAATAAAGTCAAAACGGGTTTGGGTTTTAAAAAGAATTTAAAGCAGCACTCTATCCCTGTATAAAACTGCTCAGTTAGTCAATCATAAACCTGCTCGGTATTTTTGTATTGATGCCTCGAAAAAATAATCCACAAAGGTACTTTATCATTATAAAAGCAATTATAAAACCGTTCGGTTTCAAATGGAAACAAAAAGCATATATTGCTGATTTTTGGTGATTTTTTTCCCTACTGTTTACAAATTAAACTAATAATATGGATCCGCCTAGAGACAGACGAAAAATAAATCGATTAGAGCTTTTAAACGAAGAATCACAAGGAAATTCCAAAGGATAGTCGAATAATAATAATACTAGCGATAGTAGGAGGAATAATTGTAGCGATGCTGTCGACGGAAAGGAAAAGGACTCCAATTCCAGAACTTCCTGGAAGGCCCAGCAGCTCTGACTGAACCGGTCAACAATGACAGAACAGGTGACTGAGAAGAGTGAGCACGGCTCACGAAGCACTGGAAGCCGTCAAATTAGACGCTTAAAATTGTTGGGAATACCCTAAATAGTGTCAATGGCGTTTGCGACACGATCTGAAAAAACACAGACCAACCATCTCCAGAAATTGCATTTCTATTAATGATTCGAATAACATGCATCAGTGCCAAACTGAGACTGCGCCAAACTACCGACAGGAAACTTCAGAAGCTGTCAGCCAGCTGGAAACTGACTGCCTGGCTTCATTCGGCGAAAGGGTCAACTATTCCATAAAAATCCAAGCAAGCGCACAATAAATTCCTCTGATCATCCGGGAGGAGGGAAACTTTTTAGGAATGATTGAGCTTCCACCTGTTCCAAGTTATGCATATACACTTTCTGATTAACTGTTCCACTGGATGCTAATAGCCCTTATCGAGGATGCCACGCAACTTGTTGATCGGTACAATTTTTTTCCCTTGATTTGTTTTCCGTCGATCTTGTTTTCCGTGCCACCAATGCTACTGACGCCAGAGAGGCAGCTCCCACACCTGGACCCTACCTATCGACCCATCAACGGCTTTACTTCCCTTTACTTGGTGTAGTGGTAAGCGTGATTACATCTCACCCCAGCAGGCCAGGGTTCAATACCAGTCGGCGCCGCCGGGATGTTCTGAGGCATAACATCTCTGATCACGCCTTCCTTCGGATGGGAAGTAAAGCCGTTGGTCCCCGGTTCATGAGTTGATGGGTCGATAGGTAGGGTCCAGGTGTGGGAGCTGCCTTCCTGGCACGTCGGTAGCATTGGTGCTCAGCACGGAAAACAAGATCGACGGAAAAAACAAACCAAAGGAAAAAAAAAAAATTGCTTTTTCACAATTGACCTATGGAAAATCAATTTTTATGCCACCGTCATATTGCTATTATGTACTACATTTGTTTTTTCATCTACAATCTTCGTTATTCAAGATGTTTTTAAATGAAAATAACTTTAATCTCTTAAATTCATCAATGAGCAGTAATAGAGATTCCGAAAATCATTAAATTATCTCGGCTGGACGCATTTTTTAAAACTAGTTCGTTTATTTACTAGGCTCAGTCGTGTGTGACACTTTGCGGAGCCAAAATCAGTAATGTTTGAATTTACATTTTAAATAGCAGTAGTTCTAGGTTAGTATTGGGTACCAATTACTCATGGCGGGCTCGAGGTTAATGGGTAACAATTTCGATTGGATGGAGCTGGTAGGAAACTGGTTTCTGAAGCCTCCTTCAGATACTACTCTCGGATGGTTGACCAAATCCTGGCTGGGCAGGGGCAAGTAGCACAGGAACAGGAGGATAATGAGACTGGGATACAATGGCGGGAAATTGTTTGGAAAGGAGGGGATGGTCACATCAAATTCTAACATCAGACAAACAAAGGAATTCGTAGATCGCTTGCATGTAGGGAAGATCACGTGTTCCCAGTACATCTCTTACTTCACGGAAGGGTTGTCTACCTCGGGCCACTAGGGTATCCAATAGTCGTGCTCTGGAGGCGTCATTACCCGGGCAATACCAAACTGCGTGATCGATGTCATCATAACCGGTTCTGCACCTACATATCTGTCAACGAGGTTTATTCTATAGAGATGTGCGTCTAGCGAGTAGTGGTTGGACATAAGTCTTGACATCACTCGAATGAATCCCCGACTTACATCCAGACCTTTGAACCACGCTCTCGAAAAAACATTTGGAATAATGGAATGTAACCACCGCCCAAGAGAATTACTTGTCCAATCGTTTTTCCAACTTAAAAGAGAACTCTGACGTACTAATGGGACAAATTCATCGTGTGAAATTCTTCTATCATAAATCTCGCCTTGTTGTGCGCCCACCTTTGCGAGAGAGTCTGCCTTCTCATTGCCTGGGATTGAGCAATGTGAGGGGACCCATAAACAAGGTATTAGGGTATACGTCCCTAACCTCGGTCTAATATGCAGCCATCGATTACGTTTTTAATCATAACTCATCAATGAATTTACCTGCAAACGATATTCTACTGCTAAATGGTATGCTTAGATATGCTTATCATGTCGTTTGCTATCAGAAACCACGAAAAGTTGAAAAACTTACTTTTTTTAAGACAATAACTCACGAGGGAAATGTATGTAATATGGGTCTATTGTCCCCAAATTGGGTCTATTTATGGATGCAACTTCGTCCTATCTTGTTTGATCCTCAAAAAAACGCTCTTGGTAACGTTTTCTGATGTATTTTTTTTTATCACTATCACTGTTAACTTAATGCTCTTCATTCCTCAAAACATTTCTTAGAGAAAATTTTACGAAAACTACATTAAATCACTCAATTTAAAAATTAAAAATTAAAAATTTCGCTTATCGTCTTTTGACCGCAGAATATCTAAATCAGAACATTGTGATGTTCATTATACAGGTTTGGCAGAAAAAATCTCCCTTCCTGTTCGTTCCTTATCATCCAAATGCAAAACAACATTGTTGACGTTACTCTTATTGCTATATGCTGTCAAATGAATTTCATGGGCCATAGTTAGGAACATAGAAAAGAAATGTGTCCCTAAAGTTGGGTCCATGTTTTACTTGTGAAAACGTTGTTAAACAATTAAAATAAACATAAAATATTCAAACAGCAACTGTAAGTTTTACGTCTAGTGTGTATTATCAGGTAATTCCAATCAATAAATGCCATAATCAGGCCATTTGATGATCGTCAGTCAACCTTCCCATCTTAACCTTATAAGTCATGGCGGCTAAAAACTCCGAACATTGTGATATTCTCAACCAGTTTTATTACTTACGAGAGCTGAAAATGTATTGAAATGTTGTGATATAAATTGATTTGTGTGTGGTACACATTTATCAACCATCAGTGATCAATATTTTCCTTATTTTTTGTGTAATATTCCTTAATTAATTATTTATTTGCGTGATAGGCCGAATGAAAGGACTAGACCCACATTACATACCGTAACCCTATATATGATTTTACGACCAGCAAACTCATCTGCTCCCTTACCTTTGAAAGGAAATAAGATGAGTGCCTACATTGTTTCATCGACCGAATAGCCTCAATCGAACTGAGACTATCCGAGAAGATGAAGTAATGGTCTATGGGCATATCGGAAATCATCCCCAATGCGAAATTGATTGCTGCTAGCTCAGCAACATAAACGGAACAAGGTTCTTGAAGTTTCCGAAAGGCGGTTGAGTATTCATTGAAGACAGTGGATCCATCAATGCGTGGTCCATCAGTGAAAAATCTTCTATTGCAATTGACTCGTTGGTACTTTTCAGCAAAAATGCGGGGAATTGAGATAGGTCGAAGTTGATCTGGAACTCCTTGAATAGCCTGTTTCATGGAGAGATCATAGTCAATGGGGGAACTGTAGTTAGTAAAGCATACACGAGAGGGGTTATAGCAAGGAAGGCTAATATCCGATGACATATAATTGAGATAGATTCGCACGAATCTAGACTGGATGCTCAATTCGAGCATTTCTTCGAAGCTTTCAATCACAAGGTCGTTACTGACACTACATTTAATCAATATTTTTAATGAGAGCTCCCAGAAACGGTTCTGCAGGGGTTTTACTCCAGCTAGAACCTCTAGGCTCATATTGTGTGTTGAATGCATACAGCCAAGGGCAATACGTAAACAACGATATTGAGTACGTTCCAATTTGATAAGGTGGCTTTTTCTTGCCGAGAGGAAGCAAAAAGAGCCATACTCAAGGACTGAAAGAATCGTCGTTTTATATAGTTTAATGAGGTCTTCCGGGTGAGCACCCCACCATGTCCCGGAAATTGATCGTAGAAAGTTGATCCTTTGTCGACACTTTTGTTTCAAATTCGTTATGTGGGTACCTCAAGTGCATTTTGAATCAAACCAGACTCCAAGGTATTTGAAGGTTAAATATTGGGTAATGTCTCTGCCCAAAAGATTTAGACGCAGTTGGGCTGGAAACCGCTTCCTTGTAAACACTACCAATTCAGTTTTTTGCGGTGAAAACTCGATCCCTAAATTTCTTGCCCAGAAAGTCTTTGTCTTTGTCTTTGCAAGATTTTCGCACGTGGACCTCTCATGGAAACCACGGCATCGTCTGCAAGCTGTCTAAGCAGTTATCAATATCTTTGACATAGAAATTATAAAGTAAGGGACTTAAACATGAACCTTGGGGTAAGCCCATGTAGCTAATTCTAGAAGTTGTCAGTTGACCTAGATTGAAGGTCATTTGTTTTTCTGACAGTAAATTATACAAGCAATTATTCAAAATACCGGGTAATCCACTACAATATATAAGTAAGGGGTTTTGTCACCCGGTCCAAGTTTAAAAAAAAAACACGACAATGTTACACCACTCGAGGATAAAGACTAACTGATTTTTATTCCAAATTATTATAAGGTGAAACCTATCGAAAGCCCTATCTATCTGCTGAGTAAGAACTTATAGGAATGCGGTCGCCCAGTTGCTAATGCAAAGGCAACGAACTGCTGAGGTTGCTTCCGTCGCGTGGTCCTGGTCGGTGCCATCGATGGTTACCGGGTGAGAGTCTGCTGACGTGAGAATAACCGTGTGTGCATCCGTGCTACTTGGTGTTGCTGGGTAGTAAACTGCTGATGTTCGAGATTTGGTGGCTTGGGGTTGAACGTTCCGGCTGCTGGGCTAACTGATGTGCCGTCGTCGTCATCGGCGTTGTTGTTGTTGTTGTTGCTATGATCGTCGATGGCGATGAAGGTAATGATGATGTGTTGACGAAGCGATTGATGTTGGTAAGTGTAGTGTTGGGGATCCAGGAGGGTTCGATCTTAACTACTCCCCCTTTTGAAAACGGATCGTCCCGATTCGTTGGGTTGCATTCAGTTCCGCATTGTCGTTTCTTGGTTTTAGCGTCAGACTCCGTGGAGGTTCCTATGTTAAGAGATATTTGCTTCCGTCTCTTTGAAATCCAACAAAGGCCTGTAAAGATACTCAAGAGAAGACAAATGCTCGACATACTTATTGACGTGTATGTCTGAATCTTATGCTCTGTGGTTATTGTATCCATTTGGTGCCTGTTTCTGATGTGGATTTCTTCAATATTATTATGGATCTCCAGGGTCTGTTGATTGATATGTAAACCATCTAGCGACATGACAATGGTCGGTTCCGATTTATGCATTTCGGCATTGTAGTATTCGGTGCCGTTTATAACTATTGAACAATTGTGGAACTCTATTAAGTACGTACCAGATAAGTTCCGTTTTGTCAACCCGCAGTTTGAGTTGATTTCTATGTTATGAATATCCGTGATTACTATGTGGTTGTCAGTAATCCTTTTTATTGTTTGAGGTTGATGGCAGCTTGTAAACGTGCAGTTTCCTGATAATCCTTTTAGCAAATTTGAATAGCACGTATCTCCAGTGAAGTCGATGAGGTTATTCAGGTTGCATAGTCTCGTTTTCCCGATGTTTCGGCATTCTTCCCTGATGAAGTAAGTTCTGTTACCATTATGCAAAGCAACACTGGCTGGAAGTTTTAAAGTTTTGTTTGAAATTGGTAGGAGTTCTAACAGAAATTGAACATGGGTGGAGTTTTCTATCCTAGGAATTGAAACAATGAATATTAATTTTGAATTATTGTAGAATGCAGACAAATCTAAAAATTCGTATGTTTGTTCTATGCTGGTTGGTATAATGTTTTGTTTTTCTAGAATATCTGAAACAAATGCTAATTCTTCTACCGATAATATTTGTTTTGGAATAATATTTAATCTAGCTAGCTGAACTGATTCGAAAAGATTTTCTAAGTGGGACCTCAAATGGTCTAGATTGTAATTGATCTTCATGACTTCTCTTAGGATTTTAAAGTTTTTATCTGTGTTGTTTTCTAACCTTGCTGTTTTGATATTTTTTGTAATTTGGCTTTGTTGCTGATTCAAACGATTAATAATAGAATTGATTCGGTTCTGAAGTTGCAGGTTCATTTTAAATTGCTCGTTGTTTTCATTGATAAGCATCTTATTATTAATCTGCAAATCAGATATAGTTTTTGATATATGTTCTAAATCGTTGTGGTCCATATTCCCGGTGATTTCTTTTATTGCTGTTCCAAGCAGATTGAACAATCCTCTTCTTTGCCTTGACTTTGGTCGAAGATCATTAAAAATGCTTTGAACAGTATTGATTTTGTTTCCAGAATTTCAAATACATCTGTGAAGTTTGAAAAATTTCGTATTCCATGGATATTCATTAGCAGTTTTGTAAAAAATAGGATCATAGTTATTTAGCTATACTACATGAAAAAGTTTATGGTTTCCTATTTTTATAAGACTGCTGCCGGTTTCGATTGTAAGGAGGCCAGGGTTTTGTTTCAGGTTCTGGAAATGGATGGATTGTGGATGGGATAGTTGGATATACAGGAACGCAATGATTGTGGTTAAGAATATCCGAATTGGTATCATCTAAAAAGAGAAAATAGAGAGAGTTAGAATGTTGAAGAACTATTTCCGGATACGGCGAAGTTTTTCTTTGTGTAATCGTCGTTTTTTTGTATCTCTGTATGTGCGTCTTCTGTTATATTTAACTTGTATTTGCTGAAAACGGTCTTTAGTTTTAGATTTAATTCCTTGAATTTTATTGTATACCATTTCGCCGCGTTGTAGAGTCGGTAGTTTTTCTCGACTGTTGTTGTGGTACTTGTTTTGTTGGTCCTGTGTTTCTTTGAGTTTTAGTGCTGCTTCATCGTATAATTTGTCCCTTAGCTGGATCATGTTATCTATATTCAGAGGTCACTCTTCTCCAGTTTTGATTCCATAAGAGATTTCGCGGGGTTTAAGGTTGGTAGCTGTATGGATACTATTATTATAAAGAGTACATGCAATTAGAAATTTCTCTTTGTTTGATAATTCTCCGTATTTATGTTTGTTGGAATTGAAAATTTCAGTTATGGTGGAATGGAATCTTTCTACTTTTTCATTCATTTGGCTATGGTTTGAAGGGGTGAAATACTGCTGTATATTCAAATCTGAAAGCAATCGTCTTACTTCTATAGATTTTATGGCAGGTTCGTTGTCAGAGACAATCATTGAAGGGGGCCATACAGGGTGATGTATTTGAGAATCGCTTTGCGAACGTCAGGAATGGATCTAGACTTTATTGGAAGTAAGGTGCCAAATCTAGAGAATTTGTCAACCACGGAAAGGAAAATGTTGGGTTGGGCGTCTAAATATCTATATGAATAATTTCGAGGGGTTGTTTGGGAATCGGTGTTTCTCCGAGTTTAATTCTGTAGGGCTTCCTTTCGTACTTTGCCCTATTACACATTTCGCATAGAATTATAAATTTTCTAATTTTTTGTTTCATGTTTGGGAAAAAGAATCTTCTTCTTATTTCCTCAAGATTCTCGCGAATACCTCTATGAGCAGACTCATGAGTATCTTCTATTATTGAGTTTTGTTCCTCTGCGTCTGGTAAATCGATTAAAAGATTTTGAGAAATATAAATTTTAAATGTCTTACATCGACTGAAATAATTTTTGAAGACAATCTGTAAAGATTGTATTACTGATTCTGGGCATAAAATACAATTAGATCTTCTCGGGTCCATGTATTCCTTAAAAATTCGAATCAGTGATGGAACACCGAAAGTAACTTTCGTTATTGTCCGCCGATACACGCGAGGAAATATTTCCTCATACGTTTCGGATTCATTAGGATCGATTTTCAATATTATTTGGTTGTGAAAAAGGTTTATGGGTTTTTCGGTACATTGCATAAATTCGGAGTCATCAGTGTCAGCTGAGTGTACTGTGGCTCCGTCTGAGTCGGAATCATCTTCATTCAAGTTCAGTTCGTGAGATATTCTTGATAGAGCATCGGCAACAACATTTTGTTTGCCGGGTCTATGTTTTATTTCGAAATCATATTCTAAAAGCTGTAGACGCCATTTTACGAGCTTTGTATTTGGAGTTTTGAGGTTTAGCGCGTATGTTAGCGGTTGATGGTCAGTGTACAACGTAAAACGTCTACCAAAAAGATAGGGTCTGAAATATTGTGTTGACCACACGATTGCCAATAGCTCTTTTTCTATGGCTGAATATCGTTCCTCTGTTTTTGTTAATGTTCGGGACGCATACGCTACCGGCCTATCTTGTCCTATAGGTCCTTGAGACAGTACGGCTCCCAAAGCAAAATTGCTGGCATCCGTAGTCAATACAAACGGTTTCTAAAAATCCGGGTATTGTAGGATGTCACTATGTGTCAAAAGGTTTTTACATGTGTTGAATGTTTTTAAAAATTGTGGTGTATGTTCGACATTCTCGCCTTTTCTAAGTTGGGCGGTAAGGGGTTTCGTGATTTTTGCAAAGTCACGAACGAAGCGCCTGTAATATCCCAAAATACCAAGAAAGCCTCTGAGTTCTTTCTGATTCTTTGGAATAGGCCAGCTTTGTATTTGCTTGGATTTGGCTTAACGCCATTATCCGTAACAATATGGCCTAGAAAAGTGACTTCTTTTTTCAAAAATTCGCTTTTATCTAGCTGTATTTTAAGATTTACCTTTTCTAATGCAGTGTAAATTTTTGTCAAATTTTCAATGTGTTCTTGAAGGGAGACCGAGAAAATGATGATATCGTCCATATAGACGAGACAACATTTCCCGATAAATTCGCGAAGTACGTTATCCATTACCCGCTGAAAGGTCGCTGGCGCGTTTTTCAGTCCGAATGGCATCCATAAATATTCGTACAAGCCATGTTCTACAGAAAAGGCTGTTTTTTGAACATCATTTGCATGGACTTCAATCTGGTGGAAGCCAGATGCAAGATCCAAAGTTGTGAAATATTGGAATTTTCCAAGTTTGTCCAATATTTCCGTAATATTTGGGAGTGGGTACTTGTCGTCTATAGTTTTCTCATTGAGCTTCCTATAGTCTACGACCAAGCGCCATTTTTGTTGTCCTGAAGCATCCAATTTCTTTGGCACAATCCATATTGGAGAGCACCAAGGAGATGTGCTGGGACGGATTATACCTTGTGAAAGCATTTTGGTTATTTGTTTCTGTACTTCTTCCTTGTGACAGTAAGGGTACCTGTAGCTTTTCGAATGAACTAGGAGTTCATTATTGGTTTCGATTCGGTGCTTAAGATCGTCACCTTCCAAATAGAATACGCTAGGAAATTTAGAAATTAAATTAATTAATTTCCGTTTCTCCTCTGCGTTTAGGTGATCTATACTAAGTTGACTTCTCAATCTCGCGTCGATCGATGTATTTTCGAAAACATAGTCTGGTTCGTACTTGGGTACGTTGCCAACGATTTCAAAATTATTAAGTTCTGAAAAAATAAGTCTTTGAGGACTAATTTTGACAGGGACCTCATAGCAGTTCTTCAAAAGCACTGTAGCTTCATTGTTTTCAGCTGTGTAGAGTCCTGGGAGAACCATCACTTCTTCCGTCAGAGGAAGTGGATATTCAACATGAAAATCACCGTTAGATACATTAGTTTTTAGAAGTAGTGGGATTTCTTCGTAAGCATTCAAATTCACATTGAAAGTGTCTGGATACTTTCGATGCATTTGAAATGAAAATTCAGGAAATTTAAGGACGTTTGATGAGGTCAAAATTTCGGCTTTGAGATCTCTAAGAGATTCATAACCTATTAACCCGTCAAAATATGAATGAAAGTTTAGTATGTTAAAGGTTAAAGTAGAAGAATTTTCTTGAAATATGTTTAAATCAATGTATTATCGATGCTGTGTTTTCTATCTATGTTCTTTTCTTTAGTTGGAACACCGCTCGTCAAAAACTGCAGACATCATTCACCTCTACTGTTGACGCTTGCAATCGATCCTGAGAAACGCTTCCAAGACCACGCCGGAACCGTCTTCTACAACTTTCACAAAGGAGACTTCGAGCGAATAAATAACTTTCTCGCTAATGTGGATTGGAATGCGACACTAGACTCCGGGGATGCGAATCTGGCTGCCTCGACCATGTGTGGTATCATATTTATTCTACGCTATCGATCAGTTTGTGCCTAAAAAACTACGGTGTAAACCTGCCAAACCCGCCTGGTCGAACTCTGATCTTAAGCATCTGAAAAAGGTGAAAAGGGCTGCACTGAGGAAACACAGTAAATATCACACAGATTCTACGAAGGCTAATTACGTCCGCGCCAACAACGAGTACAGAGATCTCAATGCAAGCTTGTACAACGCACATCAGTCTCACTTGCAGAGTCGTCTCAAAGCTAATCCTAAGGAATTCTGGCGATATGTGAACGAGCAACGGAAAGAAACGGGATTGCCGTCCAATATGACTGATGGCGTTACTGATGCCAACTCCGTCGCAGATATCGCCAATATGTTTCGCACACAATTCAGCAGCATTTTTTTCAGACGAAGTTCTTGATGCTCAGGAAATTGCTGCTGCCACGAGTAATGTCCCTCGTACGTCGGTGTTTGGTTCTCCTTTCACCATCCACAGCGACATGGTGATTTCAGCCGGGAAACAGATGAAAACATCAACAGGATCTGGTCCAGATGGCATTGCCTCATTAGTACTGAAACGTTGCTTATACACTCTTTCAGAGCCCTTAGCTAAGGTCTTCAACTTGTCAATGACCTTCGGAGTTTTTCCAAAATGTTGGAAGGATTCGTTTGTTTTCCCTGTTCACAAAAAAGGATGCAAGCAGACTGTCGCCAATTATCGCGGAATAGCTGCATTGAGTGCTATCTCCAAACTATTCGAGCTAATTGTCCTGGAAAAGTTGGTTCAAGACTGCTCGTACAGTATTTCTCAGGATCAACACGACTTCATGCCTAAGCGCTCGACGACGACTAATCTAACTGTTTTTACATCGTTCATTATTCGTGAGATTGAACGTGGCCATCAAGTTGACGCCATATACACCGACCTCTCTGCAGCTTTCGATAGAGTGAACCATGAAATTACCATCTCTAAATATGACAAAATAGGTGTTCATGGGAGTCTACTTACCTGGCTTCGGTCCTATCTGACTGGCAGATCTATGTCTGTTAAGATCGGTGACTACGCTTCTCCACCCTTCATTGTTACATCTGGTGGTCCTCAAGGCAGCCACCTGGGGCAATTGCTTTTCCTGTTGTATATGAACGACGTGAACTTGATCCTCAAATGCCTTAAACTCTCGTACGCCGACGACATGAAGCTCTACTACGTAATAAAAGGGCCTCAAGACGCTCATTTCCTCCACCAAGAACTTGAAGTCTTTGATGATTGGTGCCGGATAAACAGGATGTCTTTAAATGTGTCCAAGTGCTCGGTCATCTCCTTTGGCCGTAAACGGGCGATGCATTTCCACGATTACACCTTAAGAGGAATAAGCTTGAAACGCGAATCGACTGTCAAGGATCACATTGCTTATGTTGTATCTAAAGCTTCATCGCAGCTAGGATTTTTATTCCGTTTCGCCAAAAGCTTCAAGGACGTGTATTGCCTGAAGGCTTTATACTGTTCCCTGGTTCGACCTATACTGGAATACTCTGCCGTTGTTTGGTCGCCATTCTATCAGAATGCCATCCATAGAATTGAAGCTGTTCAGCGAAAATTTATTCGCTTTGCGTTGCGACACCTTCGTTGGCGCGACCCGCGTAACTTGCCGAGCTATGAAAGTCGCTGTAACCTCATCGACCTGGAGCTCTTGGAAGGAAGGCGTAATGTGGCGAAGGCTTGTTTCGTTGCGGATCTTCTGCAAGGGAACGTCGACTGCTCCACACTTCTCAGTCTTCTTGACATCAACACTCAACGACGGGACCTCCGGCTGCATGCGTTCTTCAACAACCGGCGTTCGAGGACCAACTATGGCGTACACGAACCAATGTTGAGTATGTGCCGCGTTTTCAATAGTTGTTATTATGTGTTCGATTTTAATGTGTCCCGCGAGAAAAATAAGCGTAGCTTTAAGATATGTTTGCGTTAATTTTGTGTTTGAAGCAGTTTTGATGTTTAGATATAGAAAATTGTCATTAGGGTAACTATTTTATCTGTTGACAAGTAGAAATAAATAAATAAATACCAGAACACAACTTTTGACGTCACCTGGATTGATTTTTCCAGGGTTTATATAGTTTTTGTTGGCACCAGTGTCAATCAAAAACTTAAGCTCCCCTAATTGCGTATTTACTTTGATGTACGGTAAAAAGTTATTGTTGCCTATGTGTTTGCGTTCTCTTCGCAATCCACATGAAAATTTAAATTATCGGTTTCGAGTTCCGATGTCTCGACAGTATTGACATCATGCGAATGATTCTGTTCAACAAGGTTATTTTCATCGTAAATTTGTTCATTTTGATAATTGTATGGGTCATAATAATCATTATAGAAATTAGACTGCTCGTTCGAATTCATTTCATGAATGTGGGGCCTATTCATATAATTTACCCTTTGACTTCTAAGAGATGGATCTATCTCCATTGGGGTTGGTTTAGGTAAGCGGTGTGCGCTGTTACTTGCACTTGGTTGCGCGGAAGGTTGTGTTATTAAAAGCTAATTGGTTGAATTGATCGATATTTGAATTAATAAACACTTAAAAAAGTTAATTGTTATTTGTACCCCGTGTGCCCATTTTATCACACTTCCCTTTATATTAACATTTCAGGGTAAGAATGCAAATCATTCAGATCAAAAAAGTTTGAGAATTCAAGTTTAAAACTGAACAATTTAGTGAAATCTGCAGGCTGACAAAATCGGAACAAAAAGTTGACAAAATCAGGGGTAGACGAAATCGGAAGCTGACCAAATCGGGAACGCACTGTATACTATTTCCCGAGAAGGACGAACTATTTAGTCCAGCATTCGGTGCAGTACGGTTTGTTCATTTAAGAAACTACATTGAAACGATTAACGACAGTTTCATTAACAAACCGCATATACTGAAATCTTGTGTGACTTTTCAAAAGGTTCTAAGTAACAAATGTAAACCAATTGAGTTAAGCGATACAAACTGTTGCTCTTCTATCATTGTATGTGATACAGAAACACCCATCTAAATTTACTTTCATTTATTTAAGATAATCATAGGTAAAAAATTGTCAAATGTACAATTTGAAATGAAGAGTACATGATTGTTACTTCGGTGATTTGGACTGCCTAACATGATTGGGCTCATTTTCTAAAGTTAGTTACTCTACTATGAAATCTGTGAAAGGGAATATAGTATCATGTAGAACAAAACGTCCAATGTAGCATTGCCGATGTACAACTTGATTAATCAAAACGTCCTATGTGTTTTTCTTCTTCTTCTATATTGTAGCATGAAATTCAAAGTAAATTGTGATTTTACCGTTTCTACTGAATGTTCAACGTTATTATGCACTGACTACATTATAAATGGTATTGCAAGCGTTGATTCTAAACAGTTTAAATAATAATTGGTCTATTTGAAAAGTGACGCGAGAAATGTCAACATTGGTTATTTCAAGATTTTCTAGTAGATACCTACATCCACATTTTCATCATATTTGATGCATAGTGCCCCCGTCAAGTTGCCTCCGTCAGCTACCTGCCAGAGAGAAAAATAAAACCAATCGCGTGGCTCACCTCTTTGACTGGGTGCAACTGACCGACCGACCGACAATAATGGCACACACTCGTCGTGATCGTGATAGCAAAGAGTATGAGAGAGAGAGAGACTGCCGATGCCCTCTTAGTGGTTTTTTATGCACTAACCAACCAACCACCCGTAAAGTGCTCTCCCAGCCAAACTCACAGCAGAGAGCGTCGATCGCGATCTCCACCACGGTTCCGCTCCGCTCAAGAAGGCTCCACCGCCGTGCACTGTAGGGATATCGGGTTGTTCCGTGGACCGATCGTCGTCGTCGCAAGTCGCAATCTTGTGCTGTGAGCGTCGTGGTATTAAACATTTTCGAAACTTTGCCATTCGGTTTAGTTTTCAACGAGTTTCTTTATCGATCGCTTGGTCTTGTGCGCGTGTCTTGTGTGCTTAATGCCTGTCGCGAGTGGCTAGCAGCATAGGCTAGTGTGTATTTTTTTGTTTTACTACAATCTCGTCGGATTTGGATTCGAGAGTTGCAATTCCGGCTGCCCATTTTTCTTGGGGGGCCTGTTTGTGTGCCTTTAATGCTTTTATTTTCGTTATTTTTGTGATATGCGTTAGATGATTCGGTGCGTGCTTGGAAATCATTTATTTCCAGGGAGGAAAATCAATTTTGTGCGTAACGTAGAGTATTGATTTGTGCGACAAGAGTGAGTGAGTTTGTTTTTTTGATTTTCGCTCATGCGAAATCAAAGCTCGTAGGGAGTAGTAGTTCGTCGGAAAGTGAAACCCAAGTGCCTTGAGCGGCCTTAAATGGCGAAAGTGATACCGACGACCTTTCCTCCGTCGTCCCGGGATTGTATCGATCGAGATTAACCTGAGTGCAACGTGTGTGTAATCAAGTGTCATCGTCAACGGTCGAAATAGAGCGCGCAATATGATCCATCGGAAGAAAGTGCGCCTTTGAAATTTCACAAGAAGAGAGCGGTCAGTTTGTGCACGGCGAGGATCTTGGCTGCCTTCGAGCGCCAACAAGAGTGAAAAGTGCAATCGAAACTAGTTTTAGTCAGGTGGTGTGCTACGTAGTGCCTTCAATATTAGACTTCTTTATTTTTGTAATCAGCGCGTCTAGACGCCATTGCTTCTATTGAAGTCCCCCGAATCAAGCGTCGTAGTGTGCCATAGAAAGAAATAACAAAAAAATAAAACGAGTTGGAATACAAAACCATCACACATCCAGTGAACAAACGAGTTCATCCGACCACCGAGAGGAACCCCATCGAGTTTGAACATTCTAGTGAACCGCATCGGGGACCCTCGGAATCCGTCAACGAGAGACAGATTGCGGATTTTTTTTAACAGGCGTCCACATCTCGAAATCCATCACGAAAGGAAATTCAAGTAAGATTTCCGTTCCATTATTCAACCACAATTTGCTGGAGCTTGTTTCACAGAACCGATTTATTGTTTTCCTCTTCGATGTAACCCGCTATAAAACATATGATCGAAAAGCACCCGCAAACTCAGCGACCAACTCAATGGAAAGGGAAGAAAACAAAAGTACAACAAAAATAGTATGTGCTAAAATTGAAGCAACAACAAAAAATAAAATCAACGTCAGTGTTGTTACTGTTGCAGGCAGGCATACCACACCGACCGATCACGGCTTAACCAACACATGGTCAGAGAAAGGTGTTTTCGCTGCTGTTTATGTTTCGATCGGTCGGTGTGCAGCAGAAGCAGAAGCAGCACGGGTAGAAACATGAATAAGTTGTGGCGAACACGAGAAGGGAAAAGTTGAATCCGAGCTCTGGGCGCTTTCGGGGGGTTTACAGTGGTGTTGGTTATTGGGGAACCAGGGTATGCAAATGACGGTGGGGCAAGTGAGGGATTTTATCGAAAATATTTTGCAATACTATAGAAACACATGCAACTGGGGTTTTGCGTGGTTTATGCGAAATCTTTTTTTTTATCTAGAGCAAATCCACGTTAGCCTACGAATCGATTTAACGCTAGCTTCTCCGAATTGCATGAAACTTCGCACAATTGTTCACTAGGGCAATGCTGGAACTCGGCAACCAATTTCGGTCATTTTGAAAGTGTCCATTGTGTCCATTTCAGAAAATTTAAACATAAGTTTTTTAATGGTTTTAAACTGTGCTTTATTGCTAAAGCAATTCACTTTTTGTCAATTTTTTTTTCAGCGTGAAAAGGCAATCCAGTTTTCTGCAACTTTAGCTTGGACGTCATTTCAATTAGATGATCTGTTTTCGTGCTATAATTTATTGAATAATATCAAATACGTCATTTTGAAAAGATAGGCAAGAGTCAAAATAACCTAATTCCAGCACAAACGTCGTTCATTGCCCCTAGCGAATAATTATGCGAAGTTTTATAGAATATAGGTAGACATTGTTTTCGATCAGCGTATCCTAAAACATAAAAAATACTAACTGGGAAGAGTCCCATTCATAAAATGAGCAGTTCCAGGCCAAATATCAAAAAATAAATCAATTTTTAAATCGGCATTCTACGATTTCAGGAATCTTTGCATAATCGTAACACGAAAAGGTCACTTCTAATCAAATGACGTCTGGGACAAAGTTGTAGGGATACTAAAATTCCTTCTTTATAAAATAAACACGGTAAAGTTTTTTTTAGGAAATTTTGAGAAAACATATAAAAAAAAAGTGATAACAAATTAAATGACACAAAATGTGCTTGATTAAAATTTTCGATTTATTTTTCAACACGCGAAATATTATTTAAAACCTTGGACATCTAAAAAATTTCAAAAATCAAAGTTAACAAAATTTTGATTTATTTTTTGCAATATTTTGTAAATATTTTAATTTTCTCGAACCTCTTAACGGAATCCCTTTATGGAGAGCTTTTTGAGTTTGTTGATTTATTTCCTTTTAATTCAATTATAACTGCTTATCTTTCGACAGATATTCCTATTTCTTCTACTACAAGCAGACTTCATCAGTGGTGTTGAGTACTTGGCTCTGATAAAGTCTGCAAAGTCTGCAAGTAGTCTGCGTATCTGTCAGAAGATAAGCAATTATAATGGAATCAATGATTTAAAAGGTCACAAATATTGTTTTCTGTGCTAAATCTATAAATAACAACGTATGAACAAAAATTTCTAAAATTAGTCCAAAAGTTGTTGTTCTACGGTTTTTGTCAAAATGTGGTAATTTTTAATTAGAAATTTTATATTGTGCTTTTTTTTTTAAACAAAATAGAGATATCTCAAATATTGAACAAGGGCATTTTTTGGTATTTTATTTGTTACCACTACTTTAGATTTTTTTTTAATCACAATCATTTTTTCTTACAACTCCCATAAGACAACTCAGACGTCACTTCGATTAGAAGTGATGAATTCGTGCTACGATTTATTGAAAAGAGTCGAGCACGCCATTTAAAAATGCCCGAATTTATAGATAAATGTAGACGAGTTAAGAAGTTTGTTAGAATCATTATTTGGCACGGAACTGCTCAAGTGTCATCAATTTGTTTCGTTAGCTATCGTTATTCGTCTGAAACGTGAAATACTTTTTGCCAATTAAAATTGACCAATCCCTCGCCTTGATAAGCCAAACCACTGTTTTATTCCACATGACTTGTTTCACTGTCTTAGTTCTAAAAAAAAAAGATTCAGGGAAATTCTTGAAAAAAAAAGAAGTTTCGAGAACCTTTGGGAAATTTTTAGAACCTTAGGAAGTGCCATGATTGTGAGAAAAATGTAGAGATCATTAGGAAAGTCAGAAAAATTCTGGGAAGTGAAAAGATTTTAACGGAAGTCCAGAAGCATCACAGTAGTTTCTGAAACAGAAAGAACTTCAAGGTAGTTCTATGAACTCCATGAAAATTGTATGAACTTTGAGACGTTTTAAGAACTTTTAAACAGTACAATGAACTTCTGGGAAGTTCAGAAAAAATTCATGGAAGTCCAGAGAACTTCGAGGAAGTCCGGAGAAATTCAACAAGATCGTGAACTTCAGAGCAGTTCCCAGAACTTCAGGAAAATTTCGAAACATGAACAACTGGAAAATTGTAGGAACTATATTGGCTTTGCCTTACTTTCAATATCTGACTCCAGCCAATAAAAGTCACGTATCAAGCCTGTCTACTGGTATCCGTTGGAGATTTATATTATCGCTTAAATTAATGACGTCTATTGCCTGTTTTTCTGTAATTCTGCGAAGTGTTTCGTTACTATTGCTGCCGTGACCTTTTTTGATCTTCCCTGAAGTTCTCCAAACTTATCTAATTTTTATTTTGCAATTCTCATGAAGCGCTTGGTACTGCTCTTAACTTAATAGAACTGTCTCTTAAGCTTCCCTGAACTTCTTTGAAAATCTTTAAACTTCAGTGAACTCAAAACTCGCTGAAATTTTCTGTTTTTGTTGAAAATATTTGAAACTCATATCAGGCGCAACATTTTGATAACGGCACAAAAGCATTTGTAAACCAAAGTACGGCCACGCAAACCAACAACATCATCGGATAGGGGCAACTATCACTTTTCCGAAAGTGGTACTGGAAAGTTTGTTTACAAATGCTTTTGTTCCGTCATCAAATGTTATGCCTCATATATTCCTCTAATTTCCTGAAATTAATGAAACTGCAATGATCTTCTGGGAAGATCTTTGAAGTTCCATTATTTTCAGGAAGTTCCTCCAATTAATGAAGCTACCCTGAAGCTTTTAACACACGACTAACCTAGTCGTAATGGCTTTGTCGATTTGTTAAAACCCACCAGCAGGTGTGTCCGCTCAAATGTGAAAGCCAAATAAAGTTAATGTTGAATCATTTTGAGATTTTGTTTGATTATTATAAACACATGAAAAACTATATGGCACACAAAGAAAAAAAAATTAATTCTGCAATATCGAGGTTATCTTAAACCTTCGTCTGTGACAAAAACTTACGTTGCCTGTACTCTGGGGTCAATTTGACCCCGAATTTAAATTGCCATATCTCAGCGAAGATTCAAACGGAGTTTTGAAATTTCAAATGTTATGTAAAGTAAATTTATTGTCCTATCAGTTAAAATTATCAGCTAATTTTGGAGGGGTGGATTTCTTGGAGGGAGGGGTCATTATAAAAATATACCCATGAAGAGGCATATTTTGATGTTTGAGATGTTTTTTTATGACAAGATCCCAACCATTTAAAATTTTGCTTCCTTCTGCATAGATGTTCAAGAATACAAGGTTTTCAAAACTATGGATAGTTTATGACAACAGTTACTCACTAGATGGCGCTAAGACAAACATGATCAAGAAGCACCTTCATTAGTACATATTATATAACGCAATCAACAGATCCAGCTGATATGAATGGTTCCCGTCTTGAGCAAAATTGTTCAGATGGACAAAACCTATCCTGGGTACAAGAGTTCAGTTTAGAATTCACTCACAAGGCAGCACTAGTTTTACAATTGTTTATACAATTGTTTATTTATTTCTTCATCAACAGGCTTCTTGGCCCTAATGATGGATAAGTTGTTGCCAATGAACTAAATTAATATACATTAAAACTACACATATGTTTCAAATTATCTAAAAACATTAAGAAATCTAGCACGTAGCAAGTCACGCGAAACGTTAAAATCAAATTGACTGGCAACCCGGTTGAAAACTCTCTGTACCGCAGTAATGGTACTGTTCATTCCGTAATTGGTGCGGTGAGGTTGAGGTCGTAGCATCGCATTGTTCCGTAGAGATCTTGGTCGCACTTACAAGTTGATTCGTAGTAGGATTAAAGGACAATCAACTTGACCCAGCAATACATCAGAAACCAGCATAGCCTTAGCAACGTCTCTTCGTGTACTAAATGTATCCAGACGAATTAGTTGACATCATCTCGTTTGGGAGATGAAATGGATCCCGCCATGGTAGTTGACTAAGTGCGAATCGAACAAACCGCCATTGCACTGTTTCTATTCTCTCCATTTCATTTTGGTAGTGAGGGCTCCTAACAGTCGAACAGTACTCCAATGTCGACCGAACTAATGCACAGCAGAGCGCCTTTAGACAGTAAATGTCCGTGAATTATTTTGTTAACCGGAAGATAAAGCCTTGAAGCTTTATTCACTACGAACGACACGTGCTGCTTGAAGGTCAACTGGGAGTCGAGGATAATTCCCAAGTCCTTGATTTCGTTCACTCTTACCAGTGGTACTCCAGAAAATCAACAATCGTGAAGTTTTGGATCTTTCAGTCGAGAAAACGTAACAACTGAGCATTTTGCAGGATTTACGGTCATACAATTCATCTGGCACCAATGAGCGAATGCATCAAGTTGTTGTAGAAACTGAGCGTCAGCCTCAGAACGAATCTTGAAATATAGCTTGAAGTCATCAGCAAACGAAAGCCTTGGTCCATCCA